CCGTGTGCTGAAGGTGGGGTGCAGAGTGGGTCTGGCATGCCCCCAACGCACACACTGTCATGATAGCAGCTGACTTTCATTATGCACTTACTGTGAGCCAGGCACTTTGGATGGTTTAACTCCTTTAATCCTCTCACAATAATGCTAAGAGGTAGGTGCTGTTATCGCTCCCATTTTTCAGATGGGCAAACTGAAGCCAAGAGTGGCATTTTTGTATTCCACCCTCAGTTCCCCAGTGACCTGTCCTAGGAGAGGGACTGTTGGCCAGTTGGGACTACGTGCCCAAGACCCAAGACCAGGAAGTCAGAGCCATTATTTTGTGGGCCTAGATCCCAGACTCCAGGGCTAGGCCTCCTAGGACTGCCCCAGAGTGCAAAGGGGACTTTACTTATGGAGTAAGTCTTTCCAGCGTATTACAACAGGTAAAACGAAACTTCTACATCATCTAGAGCTCCCTTTTCCCCTTACTGTGGTGTAACTCATCAGCTCAACACTAGGATGAGATGGGTGCCTCATTTCCCATTATGTGGGCCAAATTCTGAAGCAAAATGATAATGAAATGACTCCAAGCTGTCCAGAGCTTTCAGATGCCTGCCTCCCTTGGCTCCCCATCAGCCAAGTGTTCTTGACCAGCAGTTGGCATACTATGGTCCATGAGCCAAATCTGGCCTAGAAGCTAAAAGCCGTTTTTGCAGTTTTAAATGGTTATTTAAAAAGAGAGAGAGAGAGAGACTGCAACAGAGATAGTATATAGCCCACAAAACCTACAGTATTTTGGCCCTTTACAGAGAAAGTTTGCCAGCTCTTGTTCTTAACTCCAGTTTACAGAGGACAAAACCAGGGCTCAGAGAGGGAAAGCAACTTATCTAAGGTCACACAGCCCAGTATTGGTAGAGCTGGGACTAGCCCCGGATCAGATCTGTCTGGCTGGTGTCAGAGCGTTCTCCATCACAGAAGGTATCTGGTCATCCACATGGTCACATGTCTTGGGATTCCCAGTGGAAATCCCTTACCATGATGTTGGGCACACAGGAAGCATCTAATAGAAGACAGCCGCTATTGATCTGCAGTGTCCCACACAGTGTCCCACAGCATGGGGCTTGAGGGCAGCTACAGAGATCCAGGGAGAGGATCTGGGAGGAAGGGGCACTTGCAAGAAAGAGACCACTGGCGGGGGGGGGCTTCCCTATGATGTGAATTCTGCTTTCTGGCCAGAGGGCTTTGAATTCTGGAGCCTGGACGTGAATGGAGGTGATGAGTGGAAGGTGGAGGATCTCTCTAGAGACCAGAGGAAGGAATTCCCCAATGACCAGGTCAAGAAATACTTCGTGACTTCTTATTAGTAAGATCTGAGGCTCGGGAACTGTTAGGGTGGGGGGGAAACCCAAGTCACTTCACCCCGGGGTCTCCTGCTCTGGGAAGGGCAGTCTTCGCCCCCCCCAGTGCCCTAGTGCTGAGCCCCAGCCCCTCCCACCCCTCTGCCCGTCCCCAGCACCTGCCTCAAGTCCCAGGTGGTGGACCTCAAGGCCGAAGGGTATTGGGAGGAGCTGATGGACACCACACGGCCGGACATCGAGGTCAAAGACTGGTGAGTGCATGGGGCGAGGGTCTGGGGGAGGGGGGCCTGCTACTCAGGCGCCCCACCCCCACCCTGCCCCCCAACTCCAAGGCCCTGATGGGCCCTCCCTCTGCCCGCAGGTTTGCAGCCAGGCCAGACTGCGGGTCCAAGTACCAGCTGTGTGTTCAGCTCCTGTCGTCAGCACATGCACCCCTGGGGACCTTCCAGCCAGATCCGGCAACAATCCAGCAGAAGAGCGATGCCAAGTGGAGGGAGGTGTGTGGGCCAGGAAGAGGGCAGGTGGCATATCGCCCAAGGCCGAGACTGCAGTCAAACAGGCCTGGGTTCAGATCCCAGCTCTGCTGCTTCTAACCTGGGCCTCAGCTGCTCGAGCTCTGAAATGATGCTGGCAAAGCCATGTTCAAAAAGGTTGACTGTTATTAGTTACTAATATCGGTTATTATTACTATCTAGACCAGGGGGCAGCAAACATTTTCTTAACAGGCCAGATGCAAATATTTTAGGCTTTGTAGGCCAAGTTGTCTCTGTCACAACTACTCCACTCTTCAACTCTGCCGTTATGTGGTGAAAGCAGCTTTACGGACATGGCTGTGTTCCAATAAAACTTTATTTACAAAAAAAAAAAGGCAGTGGGCCCCGAGCCATAGTTTGCCAGTCTGACCAGTGCTGTCCAGTAGAATTTTCTGCAGTGATAGAGATGGTCTGTGTCTGCAGCTGTGCAGTACGGTAGTCAATAGCCACGTGTGACTACAGAATGCTTAAAAGGGCCAGTTTCTGCTGTGACTGAGGAACTAAATTTTTAATTTTATCTAATTTTAATTAATTTCAACTTAAATAGCCACACGTGCCCAGGGACGACCATAGTGGACATCTTTGGGCAGTTTGCAGAGTTTCCTTCAGTTCCCTTCAGTTCCTTTGAGCTACACTTAGGTAATCCTGTGGAGTGGCCCCGGGAGGATTTTGTTCCATTTTACAGATGAGGAAACTGAGGCACAGAGGAGAAGTGGCCTGCCCAAAATCAAGAGTTAGGACTAGAACTCAGTTCTGCTGACTCCTTGTCCAGCACTAAGATCTTGGCCCCTTCCTTGCCCCCTGACCTCTCTCCCTCCCTCCACCTGTCCCCCCCCCTCCAGGTCTCTCACACGTTCTCCAACTACCCGCCCGGCGTCCGCTACATCTGGTTTCAGCACGGCGGCGTGGACACTCACTACTGGGCCGGCTGGTACGGCCCGAGGGTCACCAACAGCAGCATCACCATCGGGCCTCCCCTGCCTTGACGCCCCCCAAGCCCTGATCCACCAAACCCTGACTGTTGTCAGAGAAGGGCTGGGTTAGGGAAGGGGAGGGGGATCAGGCTCCCCCAGACCTCCTAGTTCATCCTTGCCCCTCAGTTGCCTATTTTGTGGAGCCTCTCAGTTTGCACGGCCCTCACATGCCAAGGGGGGGCCAGTGCTCTAGGCCCCAGGTCTCAACCTGAATGATGACAGGGGAGGCCTGTGTCAGCCCCTGTAAGAGATGGGGCCCCTGAGGTTGGGGAGGTGCAAGGTGTTCTCCCAGGCTCCTCCAAGAGTGGTCTCCAAGCTCAGATGCCAACCTAGATGTGTGTCTCTGCCTTCCCCTCCTGGGCCCTTTCTCCCTGTCTCCATTGGGGGCCTTCGGAGCAGGGACAGTCAGGACATCTGGCAAGCCTGTGGCTGTCCTGCATAGTGCACATGTTGGGAGGTGACTATGTAGCTCAGACAGATCTGGGAGTGGAAGAGGGGCTGTGCTGGCCCGTCCTCTGCCTCATTCTGCCACTCCCAAGCTCTTTGCTCTGCCCGCCTGCTCGGAGAGGTGACTTCGACCCAGAGGCTCAGGCGTAGTCAGAGATGGTCAGGGCCAAGATGGAGTTGGGGCCAGGCCAGGTCTGGACTGACCTTACTGTCAGTGAAGCCCCAGAAGTCAGATGGGTATCAGGTGGGGGCAGAATCTCCAAAAGATCCCTGGAATCCTGTGCGTGATAACCCAGGGCAGGTGAGGGGAAGGATTAGACCCTGATTCTAAGAATGGGGCATGCAAGCCCAGGATGAGGTGAGTGGGTGGTTTTCAAGGACTACCTGTCCACCTCCATGCCTAGATCAGCTTCCCTGGGACTTGAAATGCCCTATCCCACCCTTGGAACTGCCTTTCCTGAACCTCCCCACCCTGCCCAACCTCACTCCTGCCTCTCCCTCCTGCTGGAAGGACCCCAGCGCTCGGATTCTGCCCCTGCTGCATGCTGCTAAATAAAAGGTGTTTCCAGCCCAACTGTGTCCTGTGGTTTCTGGGAGGAAAGGCAAATTTCATGGGAAGTCGTGCCCTGAACCTGCAGAAGGTGAGCCTGTGCAGCTTCTGTCCAAGGTGCAGGGAATGGTTAACATTTCAGGAGACAGACTATGGCAGGACAAGGGCCCTAGTACAGACCCCTTAATGAGCTGCCAACATCTCACCCCTGCAGCCCTCCAGTACTGCCAGCTTCCTCCAGAGGCAGGACCACCAGTCTGGCGCCCGGGGCCAGGGGTGGGGGGGTGGGATGTGGATATCTGGGTGGCCCCTGGATACACCTCATGCTGGGGCAACAGTGCCATCACAGGCCTGCTCCCTGGTGTCTCACCTACTCTGCCAAGTGCATTACAGACATTAGATGAAGCCAAAGCATTTAGAACGGTGTACGGCACACAGTAGGTGCTCAATGTACTGTTTAATTATCCCAATAGTGAGCTGGAGTAGGGCCTCAGCCATGGCAGGGACACCACTCACTAAGTTAGCAAAAGACACCCTTGGGGGAGATGCAGCCCTGACGAGTTAACAAGGTGGCCTGGGCCTGGCATGCTTGGGCAGTGCACAGCCTGCACAACCCTTTTTGGTTGCCTTAAGTAGATGCTTGATGATTACTTGTTGAAGGAAGAAAGGAATTCAAGACAAAAACGCAGAGAGGTTTTTACCTTTGAGTAAACTGAGGTCTCCGAGGCCTTGCCCTAGTGAAAGTAAAAGCCAGGCTCCAGCGCAGAGTTTCAGCAATCACCCTCTGGAGAGAGGCCCGCCTCCCTCCCTACAGAGGAGGAAACTGGTGAAGAGTGCTCTCAGAGTGGCTCGCGCAGAGGTGGAGACTAGGTTAGGAGAAGGCTCGGAATTCCCGGAGGGAGGAGAAAGCAAAGGGAAGCGGTGGGATCCCGCTGCTGAGCCGCCGATCACCTGGAGGGGAAGACAGGTTCAGGCTACGAGGTCCGCGGAGTCCATCGCGCAGCCCCGGCACTGACTGGCGCTACGCAGCGGAAGAAGCGGGCCGCGGGCTGAGTAGGCGGTGGGCGGGGCGAGGCGAAGCGGTGGGCGCGGCCCCGGAGCCCGAGGGGGGCGGTCCGAGCGCGGCGCGTGACACGGGGCGGGGCGGGGCGACAGCGGACGGCGCAGCAGAGGCTGCAGGCTCCAGGCCGACCCGGAGGTGCGGTCCCGCCGGGCGTTGGGCCCCGCGTCCAGGTCGCGGCCCAGACTGGGGAACGGACTGGGCGGGGCGGGGAGGGTGGCCCGGGACTGGGCGGGGGGGGACGGCCCAGACCGGGAAGGGCTTGGGAGTCTGACACCGGAGGGCGGGGCGTTGACTGAGCCGGCGGCGCAGTCTCCCGCGGGCGGGGAGTCCGGGGCGGCGGGGTGGGGGCCCGGGCGGCGCGCGGTACGCGCGGGGCCGGATCCCGCGCGGTCCGGCCCTGGCTCCGACTCCGGGAAGTGCTTCCTGGGAGTGACACCCTTGGCCACACACCTCACTGGTGGCGACCCGGCCCAGGGCCGATCTGGGACCTCCCGGCACCCCCACGCCCGCGGTTCCTGGGACGGGCTTTCCAAAGCCTCAGCCTCGGTTCTCGAGAAATGGGCGTAGTAACCGTGCCTACAGGGGTCGTTGAGAAGGTCGCGACGCGGGCTGGGCATGTGGGAAGCACAGGTACCCCCGGGGTTGGGGGGGAGAGGCCTCACCCCATGCCCCAACCGTGCGCAGTCAGGCTTCGCCCTAGACCCAAGAACGGCGGAAACTAAGGAGGCTGATAACGTGATAACGTGCGACCGGAGCCAGAGACGAGACTCTGGACGCCTCAGCGGGGAGCTCTTCGTACCTAAGTCGCCTCTAACTCTGACGCAGCGACTTTTATTTGGCCTAGACAGTGTTTTTAGAAGTTGCCAACACTTAAAACCTGACAGGTTTCGTATTTTTGAAATTGTTTAGAGTGCCTCCTGAAAAAGCAGAAGACCTAGCCACACGGAGTTTTTACCGTCATAGCATTTTTGCACAAGGTGCAAGTACCTTATTTATTGTTCTCTGCCATGCTGAAATGCTCCTTTCTGGGCAGGAGCCAGAGTGTGCGCCCACTCTCATTTTTGCTGGGATGGTAGCTTTGAGAAGTCTGTGGAGGGCTTCTTTGGCCAAGTCTCTATGGAAAATGAGAAGCCTCAGAGACTGTAGGTGTGGGAGGGGAATATTCCCTCCCTCTCCCACCTGTGAGCAGATGAGGTCCATCTGAGTGACAGTGGCTGGCCTGCCTTCCCCCACCCCGTCCCCACCTGGGGGATCCCCTTAGAGATCTAGATTCAGGCCAGGGTGGTGGCACTGTAAATTTTCCAAAACCCTTGTGCAATTCATGTGTAGAGGGAGGAAGGTGTTCTTGGGGGCAGCTAACTACAACCACTGGAGAGTGTTTTCGCTCCAACCTTAGAGTAAAAGTAATGATGCTCTGGAGCACTTCTCTGCCAGCCGGTGCTAAATGCTTTACTTGTACTAACTCAGTCCTCCCGGCCCTGCTGAGGTTGGGACAGTTGCTTGCTCCTCCTACGGCTCCCCAGCTAGCCACTGCAAGCCAGGATTCAAACCCCGGGGCAGTCTTGCTCAGGGTCCCTCAATCCGCTTTGCAGTTTCTGAGCATTTCAAAGTGGGCTTTTTCCTGATGCCCCAACCAGAATGGAGTGGCAGGTGCTCCTCACTGGGGTGTTTTATCACATCTGGCTTCCAGGCCAACGTGAGCAATTTGGGGAGAGGAAGCTGGTTTTAGCACTAAACGACTTAATGAAGCTGTGACATAGAATGTAAAACCTGTTACACCCACAGACTACCTGAATTCCCAGCACTAAAATAACCTGACCACAAACTCCTGTAGAGCTCAGACAATGGGTGGCAAGGTCTGCCAGTTCACTAGGCCCAACAACTTACAATTAAGTGATTATTTTTTTTTAACGGGGGGATGGGGGGCCTCTTTAAATATTAACCCCTAAAGTCTTTATTAACATTTTTATTACACTTTTTCAAATGTGTGCAACGTGTGTGACTGCTCCATATTTTGTACTGGAAGAAGGCTCCAACCCCTCTTGTTTCAGAAAAGAAAGGATGAAGAGCCCCCGGCCCAGGTCCCCGGAAAGCTGAGGGGTCCACCTCCTTGGTCAGGACTCATAAACCACTGTTGGCCCTCACAGGCCTGTGGGCGCCCGCTCCCTCCCCGCCAGCCATGGCCCTGGTCAGCATCAACGAGCTGCCTGAGAACATTCTGCTGGAGCTGTTCACGCACGTGCCCGCCCACCACCTACTTCTGCACTGCCGCCTGGTCTGCAGCCTCTGGCGAGACCTCATTGACCTGGTGACGCTCTGGAAGCGCAAGTGCCTGCGGGAGGGCTTCATCACCGAGGACTGGGACCAGCCCGTGGCCGACTGGAAGATCTTCTACTTCCTGTGCAGTCTCCGCCGGAACCTCCTGCGCAATCCGTGTGCTGAAGGTGGGCTGGGGGCTGCCCCGGGCTGGCTCCCTCCCTGGCTCCCTTCCTTTCCTGAAACTCAGGGCCTTTTCCCCTGCGATTCCCACACTATCTGGAATGTTCTCTCACACCCCTGACACCGGACCACACGCCCTTGGTTCCTCATTCTTCAGGTCTCAGTTCAGACACCTGCCCTGGGCCCCCATCTGGAGATGGTGCCCCCCCCACCTCTCTCCTGTCCGTTCCATCTAGTTCCTTCATAGCACTTTCGTAACCTGTAATTGCCTTTTGTATCTCGTGGTTTTGGTTTTGGTTTTTGTCTTCTCTGCTACAGACTCCAAGGTCCAGGGGCCTAATGGGTCTTGCTTGCCACTCTACACCCAGTGTCCACAGTGATGCCTTCACGTAGCCGGTGCTCGAAAAACGTTTGTTGAATGAATGAACAAACTGCACGTTCACCTTTCCCTCTCTAGTTCAGTCTAAGCTGCCTGACATGTATGGGGGGCGTTCTCTGTGCCCGGCACCGGACTTCACTGGGCTGAGGGCTTCACAAATGTCATTATCCTCCCATTGTCCCCCTTCCCCAGAGGAAGGAAAGGAGGATTTCCAGAGGTGACTGCAATCACGTCATTTGAGGCCCCTGTTTAACTTATAATGTCCTCCTGTACTTGCCAGGGTCTTTTTCCTTCACTGAGCACCCACGACACAGCAGGCACTGGGCTTCTTGCTGGGGCTATGGCAACAACGGAGGCATAGCTTGTACCCTTAGAGTCCCTGCCTTGTCGATTTTCTCTCTTGATCCTCACAAGGACCCAGGGAGTTGGCCAGATAAGTAGGGTTGGCTCCATTTTATAGATGGAGAGTGTTAGGCCATGGTGAGGATCCTACCCAAAGATCCGGAACTGCCCAGTTGCCGGGGCCTGGTCCTGACCGATGAAGGGCCTCGGGCCCCTCTCAGAGGCCCCATAGACCGTGGCTCAGACACTCAATCTCTCTGCCTACCCCAGATTCCACTCAGAAGCTGCCCAGCCAGGCCACCAGCTCAGCTCACACAGCTCCACAGAGCCCCCCTGCAGCCCAGACGTGCACTGGGCTGGGGGCTGGCAGCCATCAGTCCGGCCTTGCTTGGATCTCTCTTTGGGCCTAAGCGAGGCACAGCCCCACTCCTGGATTTCTGTGTTACTCGTCTGGTTCTCTCCTGCCAGGCCCCAGGGCACCTGGGGAATAGGTATGGGCTCGTAGTAAAGGGAGCAATTTGGAAAAGCTCCCTTGGTGATTGTTCTGGAAAGCCTTGGTAGAGAAACACTGCTGGTTTTTTTAAGGTCCTCTTGGCTCAATCTGAAGGGGGAGACCAGAACCTGCCAAGCCAACCTTGGGGGGATCACGAATACGGGGTTACTGTGTGCCACCAGCACCGAGGATGCCCACCTTCACAGTTATCCCTCCTGCCCTGGGCAGAGGGGTTCCGGGCTGGCACAGCTGCAAATCCAGAAAACCAGTCCTCGAGCCCCCTCAGATCTCAGTTACATAGTTAGGGTGTCAGGAGATGTCAGTTGTCAAGTAAGTGGTCTGCATTGGGACAAACTGACATTAGTCACTAAGAACAGAAGTATTATCACAGGCCCTTCATAACTTCCTGTTTTGAGAACTGAAACTTCGGTATTTCCCAGAGCCCCTCAGCAACATGAAAGGAAGGAACGGCTAGTTTAGAATTTTTGGTAATACTTTTTTTTTTCCCCCAGCTTCATGCTAGGAGTCAAGACATTCAGGAACAAAGTGGGAGGGGGAGGGTCCCAGATCAGAGCTGATATGGCAGGGACAGGTGGAAACATGTTGGAGGAAGGTCACTCTGTAGGGGTGCTCTGAGCCACAGCTGGGGTGCACCCTTGAGATGTGAACATGAGCAAACCCTGCCTTAACCCCCCTCCTCCCTCCCCGGCCCAGGTGGGCAGGACCAGACCGGACATGTGCACAGGGGATCTGACCTTGGCTTCTGTTTTTCCCTAGAGGATATGACATCCTGGCAAATTGACTCCAATGGGGGAGACCACTGGAGGGTGGAGAGCCTCCCTGGAGACCATGGGACAGATTTTCCGGACTCCAAAGTCAAGAAGTACTTTGTCACATCTTTTGAGTAAGATAAACAACCGAGCCGGTGGTTTTGAAGGGGGGGCGGTCAGGACTCCTTTTGCCAAATCTCAGGCCTAAGTGAGGGCCTCCCTGTGCAGCTGGAGGAAGGTGGTTCCCAGACGGGTTCAGAGTCTCTGCCTTCCTAGAGCAGGAGTACTCAGTGGCCAGGATTAATAGCAGTGGGCGGGGGGGGGGGGCAGTAATATGAAGGCACTGGGAGCCACTGGGTGATTAGGGTAAGTCAGAGGTGTCTGTAGCTTCCTCATCTAGGAACAGGAATTCATGGAGGTGCCCTCGTCAGGGCCCTTGAACTAGGATCACGTGCCACCTAGGCACAAGTGGGTCAGACCCCTGCGTGATTCTCATAGGCCAGCGCCAGCCAGAGGCAGCGGTCCTGCAGCAGTCAGGGGACACTGCTGGGTCCTGGCCATGCAAAGCACATCCGGGAATGTAAGCTTTTCCTTTTGCTCCACAGGATGTGCCTCAAGTCCCAGCTGGTGGACCTCAAGGCCGAGGGCTACTGGGAGGAGCTGCTAGACACATTCAGGCCGGAAATCGAGGTTAAGGACTGGTGAGTGGGACTCAGGCCATGCTCTGCATCCTTCCCTCCTCTCTTCCTGAGGACACCTATAGGCAGTGCCCACTCTGTGCCCGGTGGTGTCCTAGGGTAGAGGCTGCCCCAGGAGCCGGTACTTGCTCATTCCGCACCTCGTGGCCTTTCTGCCACCCTGCATCAGCAAATGCTATTTTCCAGTTTACAGATGGGCAGACTGAGGCCTAGAGATAAGTTGTCACAAGCAGGTACTAGAGCAACAGAGGCAGCAGGACCCAGCCTCCCTGGACCTCGCTCCCATGCCTTCTGCCCATCTGCCTCCCTTAGTCCCTTCACTGTGCATCCCTCAGCTCTTTCCCAGGCTCCTGCTCTGTGCCCAGAGCTGTGCAAGGCCTCAGGGCCACCACTGTAAGGGTAAGGGGTGGGGTCTGAGGAGCATGCAGAGCTGCAGAGGGGTGGACAGCAGGGCTGAGCAGAGGGTGAGCTCTGTACCAGCCCCTATCACACAGGCCACCCCTTGAATCTCCCACTGAATCCCCAGTCAGATCCATTATAACATACAGGTGGCACAGCTCCCACAGCCTAGGCTTTTATCTCTGTGGAGCACCTTTTGCTTTGTTAAGGGGACATCTTCACTGGACACCCAAAAGGGTTGCCACCTTGCTCTGATGTGGCCCTGCACAGAGATTGCTCACCCCAGGGGCACAGCTGTGCCTCAGGGGCAGAGCAGGGAAATCCAACTCAGAGCTCCAGTCTGTGGGTCTGCTGCCTGCCCTCCTCCAGGGTCACCTGCTGTCCAGGGGTGTACAGTCCTGAGCCCCACCCTCCCCCAGGTTCGCTGCCAGAGCAGACTGTGGCTGTACCTACCACATCCGAGTCCAGCTGGTCTCAGACAACTACATCGTCCTGGCCTCCTTCGAGCCCCCGCCCGTGACCATCGATCAGTGGAACAATGCCAAGTGGACAGAGGTGCGGCCTCACCTGCTTGCCCCTCACCACCCACTTCCCGGAGCCCCTGCCTTCCAGCCTGCGTGGCTTCCCCTTGCAGGACCTGGCGCTTCCCCTTCCCCCTCTCCAGTGGAGTGACCACCCATCTCGTCCCCTCCCCAGTCCTTGTGATCACTTCTTCCTCTCCCCTCTTCCCAGGTCTCCCACACTTTCTCGGATTACCCGTCAGGGGTCCGCCACATCCTCTTCCAGCATGGGGGCAAGGACACCCAGTTCTGGGCAGGCTGGTACGGGCCCCGCATCACCAACAGCAGCATCATTATCAGCCCTAAGATGACCAGGGACCCGGCCCCCTCCACAACTCAGCCTGAGACCATGCAGGGGCAGGAGAAGGCTGCCCGCCTGCCCTCCTCACTTCATCGCCACAGGCCCTTCTGACAGTCTGTCATCTGCTGGCCATTCACCCGTCCTCTGTCTAGGCCTGTCGACTTCCAAAGGTCCCCTCCAGCTGAGCCTGTAGTGGGCAGTGAGGGCCCTTGCCCCGGGAGCGCCTGCCCCAATTCCAACCTTGGGCAAACCCACCAGTCTGTGGTAACTCCCTGTCATATGCTCTGACATTTTGTGACAATAAATGTTTTCAGTAAAACCAGCCTGGGGTTGGGTCTAGTGGTGGGGGCCCTTGGCACTTTGGCAGCGAAGCAGCCCCTCCTCCCAGGTTAATTTGGCTGTTCCTGTCCCTCCCACTCCAGTTAGTGACAGCCCAGCTCAGCCCTTGGGGCCCTTTATTGAAACAAGTCACAGCACAGTATTTGAGACAAACAGTGTTGGCCGGCCAAATCCCAGGAGGCGGAGATAAGAAATCAAGGTCCGAGCATCCTTCCCTGCCCTCCTGGGGAGAGTTTCTCCATGAAGGCAACCAGACCTGAGCAGTGCCGCGCGGGAGGGTGGGTGGTCCATACACAGAGGCAATAAGAGCACTTGGAATCAGGGTGGCCCTACAGCACTGCCCGAGGCTGGGGGCCCCCAATGTCCAACAGTTGTAGCATCCATGGTGGGGGCAGGCACACCCTCAGCTGCTTTTATGAGCTCGCTCTTCCACGTAGAGCTGCATCTGGTAGGCCGAATACAGAGCCAAGGTCAGGAGGACAGCTAGGGCACCTCCTCAGGAGGGTCCACAAGCCCCTGGCAGACAGATCTCTGCCAAAGGTTGGAGTTGTATGGTGCAGCCACCGGTTAAGAGAAAGGGAGCTTGGAGCCTTATACCAGGTATTCCCTGGTCATCTCCTCCAAGCCTTGAGCCATACATAAGCTTCTGGCAAGGCCTCAGCATACCTTCGGTAAAGCCTACCAGGTCCCCATGCAGCTCACCTTTAAAATGTCTGACGTCATCGTTTTTAGTGGTATCAGCCGGGGGTCGTGCATGTGGACATCCTGCTCATCTGCCAGGATCCAGGGAAAGTCCTAGAGAGGGGACCAAGGGAAGGGGGTGGAAGGGTGCTAGACTGTGGCCTGCCCTCACTTCACTATCCCCTCCCCTCTCCAGAGCTGGGGTCCTCAGACTTTGGGGAGCAGCAGAATCACTAGGGAACTGCCAGCATGACAGATGCCCAGGTTCTTCCTCCTGAGAGTCCGAGTCTACAGATCCGAGCTGGGCTGGGAACCCAAGTGATTTAACCAGGTCCAAGCACCAATTCTGAAACTGGTGGGCAAAGAAACCCTGCCCGCCCCCCCGAGAACAGCCGCTGAGCTGGCAGCCCCAGGACGAGGCTCCACCCTCCTCTCCGTGCTGAGTGTCCAGGTGGGCCAATGACAAGCACGTGGCCACACAGTTAACACACGACAAAAAGCCACTCGATGCCAGGCACTGCCATAAGCAAGGTAATAAGTACACTGTCAGCGACAGCCCTGCCTACTCTGGTTTTCAGAGCCGCCCAGCCGTTGTCTCCCTGCCCAGCTTCCCTGACCGGTCTCATCTCACCTTGATGACCTGAATCTTCTCCATATTGCGAGTGGCAGCTTCTCTCGTGTGCACTAAGACTGTGAAGGTACAGCCTGAAGAGGCAAGAGTTTGGTCAGGGCCGGGCCACCTCACGCCTGCCACTGGGCGTAGCCTTTTCCCACCTCCCGGGCTGGCTCGGCAGCCCCCCAGAGGAGAAGAGTGGAAACCAAGTGCCAGGACAAGACATGGTCAGTAGGGAGACTGAAGCCAGATGGAAATCAGGGTAGCTTCCTGGAGGAGGTGAACTTTCAGAGAGGTTCTAAAAGGCAGGAAGAGAGGCGGTTTGCTGCAGCCAAGTAGGGCCCTGAGAATGCACACCAAGCCAAGGGAGCTGTGGACATGCCCGAGGACAAGGGCGTGGGGGTGAGCACACCTGGGGGGTTGTGGTCCAGGACGGCATCACATACACTGATCTTCAGGATGAAGGCTCGGAGCAGCTGCTCCACATGAGACAGCAGGGAATCCGAGCTGGGAGGAGAAAAGGAGGGTCTCCCATCACACTGGCGCCCCCTCCCACCAGCAGGCAGTCAACCCTGGAAGCAGACCTGGGGGTCCAGAGCCCCTCTCTGCTTCTGAGTGTATTGGCTTCCAAGCGCTTGGCTACCTATCTTGTCTACACAGTTAAAATCATCTGGAGAGGGGCGCCTGGGTGGCTCAGTCATTGAGTGTCTGCCTTCGGCTCGGGTCATGATCCCAGGGTCCTGGGATCGGGCCCCGCGTGGGGCTCCCTGCTCAGCGGGAAGCCTGCTTCTCCCTTTCCCACTCCCCCTGCTTGTGTTCCTTCTCTCGCTGTGTCTCTCTGTCAAACAAATAAATGAATAAATCTTTAAAAAATAATAAAAATAAATAAATCATCTGGAGAGTTGAAAACCAATGTCAAGTCCCATCCCAAACCAAGTCCAAATGGGCCATAGGGAGCCCCCAGAGGTCCTTCTAATATGCAGCCCAGGCTGAGAACAGGGACACAGCCCAAGCCTCTTCATACCCCAGGACACCACGCCAGGAAGGGACAGGGCTTGCCCGAGGCTACATAGCAAGTGGAGAAAGAGTCCAGTGCCCTGACCAGCCAATACCCTTGCCCAAGGTCAGCTTCTGGTTGTCTATGGACTGGACGTTTGGGAAGGCAGAAAACTGGGTCTATGCCCTGACTCTGCCACCATTTGGGTGACCCTGGGTAGCTCATATCATCTCTCTGGTCCTTCGTTTCTCCATCTTTAAAATGAGGTTAGGACTAGCCGTTTAGCAACCCTATGATTTTCCAAGTGTGGACATCACAGAGGTTACAAGGAGAGCACTGGGTGGCCAGCCGTGGCTCAGCTGCTAACAGGCCTTGTTAGGATGGTGTGCCTTGCCGTTCTCTTTACCAAGCTTCCTGGAGGAGGTGGGCTTTCAGAGGGGCTCTGAAAGGCAGGAGAGGCAGCTTGGTGCAGCCAAGGAGGGACCTGAGAATGCGGACCAAGCCAAGGTATTCAGGGGCTGCCCTAAAGGGGTGAGCGTGAGGGCTGTTTCTAGGGACCTCACACCAACCAGCCAGAAGACCAGGGAGAGGCAGCTTACCTGATGGACAGCAATGGAGGCTGGGTGATTTCAAAGACGAATTTCTCCACTGGGCGGTGCTCTTTGTCCAAAATTACCACCACCACTTTCTCCACATCATTCTGCAAGGACAGAACAGGGTAACCCATCCACCACTACCACCTCCCTGCCCAAGGAAGGATGGGAAGGGCACACTCACAGCCCCACTCAGCTTCGAGGCTGAGGGTCCCTGAGAGCCCAGAAGGAGATTTGAGAAGTTCAAGTAGGCACCCCCTGGCATGAGTGGTACAGACTGAGAGGGGAGAGGACACCTGGCCCCACAGGGGTATATCTCTGAGAGCAGGACAAAACAGAAGGAGGAAATTCTGAGGGGCCAAGCCCAGACAGAAATTGGGGATGGGGAGAGAAACAGATGTGGGGAAAAACCCAGAACCCTCTGGGGCAGGCCCCACTCAGCCAACTCCACGAACCAGGGCTCCCAGGCCCAGCACACACTGATTGTGGCTCCCATGCCCTGAGGTCTGTCCCTGGGCAGGGGTGGTCTCCAGGATATAGGACACAGGCTTTTGGGTGTAGAGTCATGGGGACCCCGCACAGTCCCAGCATCACCCCATCCCGGAGCACTGGAGGAGCAGACTGGGGGTGGGGGGGAGGTGGGCTGGGGGACTTGGTGCACTCACCTTCTCCAGGAGTGGCTTGACACAGTGCAAGGTGTCCTGGATATACTGGTTCAGCTCCGGGTGGCAGGACATCTGCACACAACCCCATGATGGCTCGTGAGGCCCGAAGCACCAACAGGGAAACCACCCGACACCCCTCCAGGAGCCCAGAGAGGGAGGCCAGCAGTTCCCTAGGGCTCCCCACCCAGGACACTGACTTCCCATCATGGGGCTAAGAACTGGAATTAGCCAGAAAGAGGGAGAAGTTAGAAGATAAGAATTTAGTCTCAACATTAGCACTTAATATAGCATTGGGGGTTTCTAATGTGGGGTCCGTGGCTCCTCCAGAAGCTGAGAAGTTCCTAAATTGTGTGTATTTGGGCATGCAGGCATTTTTCCCAGAGAAAGGATCCAAAAATTTAATCAATTTTTTAAAAAAACTGAGAATCTGGAACTAAGAGCCATGTGGCCTCAAGTAACTCACTTAACTTCTCTGAGCTTTACGTACTTCATCTGTGGAAGATCTCGTGAAGACAAAGTGAGGAATGAGAGAAGCACCCAGTACACAGCAGGTGCTCAGTAAATGCTATTCTGTTTTCCTTTTCCTTGTATATCCTTCAAGCTTCCACCACTTTCCAGTATTGGGTCATTCATTTATTCTAACGTTTACTGAGTGCCTTCTAAGGGGCCGGCACTTCTAGAGAGTGGGGACAGGGGAACATATATTTACTGCTTTGTCTGCCTTTTGACCTAAGACAACCCATTACAATGAGGGCAGAGAGAAGGTACCTGAGGTTTATAGGAATCACCTCCTCAAAGCAACCATTCACCAGCCTCAGGAGCTCTTTTAAGTACAACCATGCCCCAGGGGCAACTCTGATCCCAGGGCCTGGTCCCTAACTTGGGGCAAAGGAACTCGAGTTCAGAGGGGACAGAAAACTGCAGTAGGGGTGGGAGGCTGTCAGGCTGTCAGCTGCAGCTGGGAACTGGAAGGCAAGGCCAGGCCGCTGCGGGGGGAGAGGGGCTGAGCCTGCAAGTGGAGGACGGTTCAAAAATCCACCCTCTACCCTCCTTGAGGTTCGGGGGTGACCCAATAGCCCCAGCCCAGATGTGGGGGCTCACCTGGACAGGCACGTTGTACTTCTTACGCTTCTGGAAGATGCCCACCGGGTAGACCTCGCGCACGTAGAGGATGAGATGCACGGCCACCTCCAGGAACTCGCATAGCACGTCCGCCACCACTGCGAGGGGACAGAAACCGGTGAGCTCGGAAAGCCCGCCGGCCCAGGCCCTCCCTCGCCCCCGACCCCGGGTCCACAGGCTCCGCCTCCCTACCTTGACCAAAGTTGAGGTCCTGGCGCGTGAGTGTGGTCATCCTTACCGCCACCTGGGGGGTGGGGCAGGAGTGGGGGCTAGTTCCAAGGGGCCAGGCAGCCGCAGGGTCCGCCCGCCTCC